ATTAAAGTTCTTAAAAAAATATTTTTTGTTTAATTTTAAAGTTAAAAAAAAATTAAATTACGGTACAGGAAGTTCTGGCAATTTGCCTTTAAGCACGATGCCATGTTCACTAGTTAACTTCCCGTAGGGCAAGTTATAGTAATCGCAAAAAATCGAAAATGAAAATTTTTATATATATTTACGTTTCAAAGGTTTCTGAATATTTTGGCATACCTTAGAAAAAATGGATGTATGTGTGTGTGTGTGTGTGCGGATACAAATTTTCGTCGACGATTTCGGGAACACGGATCAACTGATTTGAATAATTCAAAAAACGTTAGATTCGTATTGATAAGGATACGTGCTGATTAGTTTTGGCAAAGGTAGGTCTAAAGCATTCCGAAGAAACGGGGCAAAAAGTGCCAAAAACGGTAACTCAGTTTTTAAGAGAACGGAGCGTCCGATTTTAATAATTCAAAAAACGTTTTACTTGTATTGACAAGATAAAGAATTGATCAAATTTTCATGAAGGCAGGTCTAGCGGTTTCGGAGATCTAGTAAAAAAAGTAAAAAAAATGCCATTTGGCGATCAAAAATGATCATTAGACATATGCACAACAAATTATCAGATATTTTATAGAGATTTTAACAATAAGTATAAATTTTGTTTACATTTCTATGGGTTCCGTACCAATGTTTATTTGTTAGACGACGAGTTAAAGCAGTACGATTGCTTTGAAAAAAAGTTGAGAATTTCCAAAATATGTCAAAATGAAGAAAACATTTTTTTTTTCAAAAAAAGTATTTAATAGTAAATTAGTAATTTTTTGTCAAATTTATAGTTTCTCAAAAATCTAATTTTTTCGAAGTAAATTTTTTTCAAAAATGTTAATCGTTTTTAAAAAAAATAATAATTTGGGTACGAGAAATTCCAGCAATTTGCCTTAAGGCACGATGCCATGTTCATTAGTCCTATTAATAATTGAATGGTTGGATGGTTTAAAAATCTTGTTTGTTTACTATTATGTATATATCTTTCACCATCTGAAATACTATTGTATAATTATACGTGTGTATATGTGGTACGTTCAGCAGCTGTCCGAACTCACCGCCGCTGCCCTTCGCTTAGGAAGAAGGAAAGCACGAAAGCACGAAAGCACGGCGAGCGCCGGTCGATGGGCGATATCGATCGCGCACAGCCGCTAACAGCCGCTCACTAGAGCGACCGAGCCGAATATGTGTGACAGGCCAACGCACTCCGGCGAGAGACATTCCTGATTAACACACAAACGAAAGGGGACACACGACGAACGAAGCCGCAGAGGGCTAACCCGTCCATATCAACCCCAAATTATTTTACATTTGACGGAAGACTAGTTTTTAACATAACATTGAAAAATGAAACAATATTGAAAACGTTCTGTTTACTTATAAGCATGATAAATTGTTATAGAAGGTAGTAGGTACATATATACATATACGTATGTGATAAATTTTCATGTGGTAAAAGTACGTAGATAAAACAAAAATGATTTTCAACGGTTTTGCATCCATATAACAGAAAGAAAAACTAGTGGTGCATGGCATCGTGTCTTAAGGCAAATTGCTGAAACTTCCCGTAACAAAAATTATTATTATTTTAAAAACGATTAACATTTTTGAAAAAATTTTACTTTAAAATAAATTAATTTTTGAGAACAAAAAATTACTTTTTTTGAAAAAAAAAATTATTTTTTTTTTTGAAAAAAAACTGTTTTCTTTAATTTTACATATTTTGGAAATTCTGAACTTTTTTCAAAGCAATCGTACTGCTTTAACTGCATAGAGACGAAATGTCAAAGCGCGTGAACGCCGCGTTGCCGTCTAACGGATGAACATTGGTACGGAACCCATAGGAATGTAAACAAAATTTATACTTATTGTTAAAATCTCTATAAAATATCTGATAATTTGATGTGCATATGTCTAATGATCATTTTAGACCGCCAAATGGCATTTTTTTTTTACTTTTTTCATTAAATCTCCGAAACCGCTAGACCTGCCTTCATGGAAATTTGATAAATTCTTTATCTTGTCAATACAAGTAAAATGTTTTTTGAATTATTAAAATCGGACGCTCCGTTCTCTTAAAAACTGAGTTACCATTTTTGGCATCCACATACGTACATCCATTTTTTCTAAGGTATGCCAAAATATTCAGAAACCTTTGAAACGTAAAGATATATAAAAATTTTCATTTTCGATTTTTTTGCGATTACTATAACTTACCCTACAGGAAGTTAACTAGTGGTGCATAGCATCGTACTTTAAGGTAAATTGCTGGAACTTCCATTAAAAAAACTTGAATTTTTTGTATGCGCCGCTTAGCAGTGTAGCGAAACATTGGAACCCATAGAAATGTAAACAAAATTTGTACTTATCATTACAATCTCTATAAAATATCTGATAATTCGATGTGCATATGTCTAATGATCATTTTTGATCATTGGATCTGCAAAACCGCTGGACTTGCCTTTCCAAAAATTCAATCAGTTTTTCATTTCATCGATACAAATAAAATGTTTATTGAATCATTCAAATCGGACGCTCCATTATCTCAAAAACTGAATTACCAGTTTTGGCACTTTTGTCCCGTATCTTCAAAACTGCTGGACTTGCCTTTGCCAAAACTAATCAGCAAGTCTCCTCGTCAATACGAATCGAATGTTTTTTGAATTATTTAAATCGGTTGATCCGTGTTCACGAAATCGCCGACAATTTTTTTTATCCATATATACATACATACATACATACATACATATATTTATTACACACACACACAAACATCGATTTTTTCTAAGGTATGCCAAAATGTTCAGAAGACTTTAAGATGTAATTATCTGTGACAATTTTTATTTTCTATTCTCCTTTATTTTTTGCAATTACTATAACTTGCCATACAAGAAGTTAAAATGAAGATTTTTAACAGATTTTCAATCATATAACAGAATGAAAAATAAATTCCGGTTTAAAATATTTAAAAGACTTCCATATGTTTAGTTTTAGAGTAATGTTAATACTACTCAATTTTAATTTTAATTAGAATTAATTTCTAATTCTAATGTTATTGAGTTTCTAATCTGAAGAAAATAATAATAAATCATAATTGTAAAGAAAATGATAATCAAAAAGGCAAAATTAATTCTATTTTGATATAACTATATCCACATTAATTATAACTATATACGTTGGCCATATTAATTCCAGATTTGAAGAAATTTGAAGAAAAAATATTATAATAACTATACAATTAATTCATGATTTAACATTTTCATTAAAATTTAAATTTTGTACATACAACATATGTATATATATAAAAACTAAAAAAAAATCTATTCACACAACTGAACAAAATTTAATTATATTTCTAATAATTTTTAATAAACTTCCATACGTTTCAGAACCCAATTTGACTCTTATTCAGTAAATAAAACACAACACCTCCAACATTTGTTTAAAATGTTCAAATATTTTTAAATAAATATTTTTATACTTTTTACAAATATGATCGTTAATCAAGTTTTATTTTCATTGAATGTCGTTTTTGACTTTTTCGAATAATTTGTGTGTTTTATCTACTGAAGAAGTGTTGAACTGGGACTCGAAATGTATGGAAGTTAATTATTTTTCAGAAACATAATCTCTATTATCTAGATGGATGTCTATTAAAAACCTTTTTTGTATTTATCTATATATATACATATGCATGTATATAGGTGCATGTGTTCTTGAACAAGTTTTACATTTGAATAAAAATGTTAGTACATTATTTATATATCAAGTTATTATACCAGTTTTTCTTTAATTTTCCTCATTTCTAATTATGATCATATAATAATTATTATAAAAATCAGAATTATGTCGCCTTCTCGGCAATTTAAATTAATTTAAATTTTATCATTTTCTTAATTTTAGAAAATAATATCACATTTATATTAATATTACACACAATTAATTTATATTTTATTTTCAACATAGATATAATCAAATTTTATTTAAATATTGCTTCCTTTTTTAATGCAAAAATGAAATGAAATTGCATGTACACGGTACATTGCGATATTCAAGATGTTTTTAAAAAATACTAGGATTTAATTAATTTTAAATAAGATTAATATTATATTAGTAAAAGCAGTTTTGATATATTTATTTTACTAGTGCAATAAAAAACTGGAAAAAATATTAGTTGTCCATAATTAATATAATTAATTTATTATAGAATTTATATCAATATTAATCATGTGCATAACTGTTCGTATAATTATGTCTATTTCACAAAATTTGAGGGCAATATTTTACACGCGACATTATGTTTTTAAACAATTTAAACAAATTGATTTAGTTTTTAATATTAATTATTTCTATTGAACATATTTGTCTATACGAGTATATATTAATGCAAATGAACTTTAATTTAGATATGTTTTGAATTTCTCTCGAAACATAAGATATTAAAACTTTTGAATAAATAATGTAATTATTAATACAAATTTGTTTGTTGTAATATACAAATTACCATATCGCAACCCCATAATAGAAATTGTATAAATCATTCATGCACACATAATTCCGTTATAAGCCTAAATTAACCGATACGAAAATGAATGGAAACAGATGTTTAGCAGTGTGGATCTGGATGCTCAATGTATGTAATGATGGCAAATTAAAATTCGAGAAACGCAATCGTACCGATCTGATAAGTAAGTACATGTAAGGAGCAATCGCCGAAAGACGGCCAAGCGTCGAAAGACGAAGCGAGCGGCACGGTCTGCTGAGAGTTACCAAAAGGCGGACGGCAAATGAGTGGGATGTGGGCGGATGGCAAAGACGATTTGTGCGAGGCCGCGCGATGTCTCTGAGCACGAGTCACTTAAAAGCGCGCTTTACGCACAAAGAATCGCACACAGAGCGCGCTGCCAAACCAACTCAATTAGAAGGAAGAAGTAAATCTACGAATCAAATCATAAAATTGCATAACTCACCCGCCAGCCTCAACGCAGACATTCGCTGGAACTCCGGTTCCTGCAACCACTTGTACATCCTTCGAAACGTCTCGCGACCAGATTTCAGCTTCGACCAAGGTTTCGGGTTACGCAGTAAATCCGAAAGCGTTCCTTGAGATCTACACAAAACCCGCTGTGCAAATATTGCTTGTGGTATACTATAACGTTTTAGCTCTGCACTGATACGCTGTGCCAATTCCTTCGTGTTGATTTCTTCGCCGTCTGAAGGCGCAGATACTGACGTCGTTTGCAGAAGTGTTGCGTTATTAATATTTTTACCTTGCGTCTGTAATGTCAGCAACGGAGGCGAAGGAGAAGATTGTTCACGAATCACGTGTGATATTTGCACTAATCCAGGCGGCGCGTTTGTATGTTGATTTAATCCATTGAGTGATGACAACCCGAACCAAAACCTCCTCCCATACCACCGTCTGGTGATCTGACCGATCCAGATGAAGGTGGACTCAACACAGGACTCTGTTGCATGGGTCTCTGGCCGTAAGGAGAATCATAACCCGACGGCGATAAACTTTTTTGGAGGAGATTGAAGTCCGTTTTGACTATAAGCACTATGAGGTGATAGTGGACTATGTTGCTGCGACATAACCATTGCTCCAAGAGTATTGGCGGGTGGAGAATAATCGTGCGGCGGCGACATGCCCATCGATGGTAACTTGTCATATGCATAAGGAGAACTTGAACCAAGTGCTAAACCGATACCCATACCATTATTTTGTAAAACTCCTGTTGCATGGCCATAAGCAAACTTATCTGACATTGTCGATATCGGAGGCAGAGGCTGCAGAGGAGTCAAAGTTGCATAAGACGAACCAGGACTAAAACCAGGCGGTGACATTCGGCCATTTACCGAAGTCAACGTTTGGTACGTAGGCTCGTGAAGTGAACGAAAATCAGCCGTATCGTCCATGATGGTCGTTTCATCGTTAGGTGTAAGCTTCTCGGGACTGAGAAGTTGGGAATCCCTGGAATCGTCTTGCGGTTGTACTATCACTGTTAAAGTCTCCTCGGGCGCTCGTTCGCCGGAATCGGCAACGCGCGTTAACAATCCAACATGTTGACTGGCGTTACTTATATCGCCGCGCGAATGAGAATTGCTATGTTGCGTACTGGACACCGGCGACTCGACCGCATCGTTCAAAGGCTCCAGGAGCGATTGTTGCTGTTGCTGTTGTTCTATCATATCGTCGATCGTATCCATTACACGAGTTCACACTTGTTTTGTAATTTTTGGGGTTGTTGTTGACACCACTTAATCACACACTGGCGTGTACGGAAAACACTACGACGTCACATAACAGCACTTTTTGTTTACGTTAACTATAAGACAATATTACGACGGTACCGATGCACGGCCGAAGCCGTGTGTTGTGCGCACAACAGGACGACATTCGATGTAATAGTACGCGACCATTTTTTCACTGGGCTGTGTGTTGTATAGTGTTTGTGAGAATGCTAGAACGCTACCCCTGGGGCGACTATCCGACCCTTGACTGGCGCGTTTGCCGAGTCGGCGCGCTCCATACGCGAATCGCACGGGGTTGAACACTATGCGTACTTCAATCGGCACGACACCGCCATATTCGACTTGCAGCTGTTCCACAACATTACAGAGATGGATTTATGTAATGGACACAGGAAAGCGGCAATAAGCTTATATTCAATCACACTTGTTATTTTAGATAAAAAATATTTCATTATCATTATAATTATTATATACATACAGTATTTGCTCAAAATATAGTAAACAGTTATTACCAATGTAAAGAAAGTTGCGACACGTTAGGAATTTGTGTCTCACTATTTAAGTTTGAGTATTTTATAAGAAGAAAATTAAAAATAAAATAATATAAATTACTACTTTAATGTTTTAAACTATATAATTCACACACAAATTTTTTAAAAAACAATGAAATCATTATATTATATTATATTATTATATTATAAAAAAATTCATTAATAATAATTTGACATACTTAAAACTAACGAAAGTCACCGATCAATTAAGTCACTTGTCAATAGAATCCATTGATATGAACAGTGGAACAGAATTCGAAGCGTAGAAGCACGTGTGTTCTTTCTCGTAGGTACAACCCTGTGCGCTACGTTGTCCGCTGATACACCAGCGCCGTAACAGAGTCGCGTTTGATTCCTTATCAGCATACTAATTTTATAAATGCAATATTCAGTAATAGTAATATATATATGTATGTATATAAGTAATCAGTGTTACACTAATATTTTATATTATAGAGTAATATTAAAAATAGAGACAAAAAAAATGGTAAATAAATACATATGACAATTTATTTTCCTACAAAAAACATTTTAAATTTTGATATAACTTTTAATATTGACCATTTACAATGGCAAGATTTTTTTTCCTCGAGGCCACAATTCCGGCCCATCGGCATAAGAATGACGCGTTAGTATTGTGTGGAATTCCATAGTTCATATATACGGCACAGGCGACTGTATAGAGCGGGTACCCCCGACGGCAACGCGCGCCCGTATTATCGATCGGTCGCTCTATCACAACCCCCGCTCCCGCGACACGACTCAAATCGCGCGAAAAGGAGCGCGATACGAGGATGCTTTTGACCCTTTAATGCGCAGTCGCGTGCCCCCCAGGCCTTCTAAACAGTATGGATAAGAGAACTATTTCATTTTGTAGCGAAAAAAAAAATAGTTTTGGTAACAGATTAATCGCAACGATAATATAAAACTAGTGGGGCGCATGGCATCTAGCCTTAAGGCAAATTGCTGGAACTTCCCGTACCAAATATTATCATTTTTTTAAAACGATTACATTTTTGAAAAAATTCGAAAAAATTAGATTTTTGAGAAACTAGGAATTTGACAAAAAATTACTTTTTTGAAAAAAAAATGTTTTCTTTATTTTGACATATTTTGGAAATTCTGAACTTTTTTTCAAAGCAATCGTACTGCTTTAACTGCATAGAGACAAAATGTCAAAGCGCGTAAGCGCCGCGTCGCCGTCTAACGAATATCATTGGTACGGAACCCATAGGAATGCAAACAAAATTTATACTTATTGTGAAAATCTCTATAAAATATCTGATAATTTGATGTGCATATGTCTAATGATCATTTTTGACCGCCAAATGGATTTTTTTTTTACTTTTTTTGTTAGATCTCCGAAACCGCTAGACCTGCCCCATGAAAATTTGATCATTTTTCATCTTGTCAATACAAGTAAAATGTATTTTGAATTATTAAAATCGGACGCTCCGTTCTCTTAAAAACTGAGTTACCGTTTTGGCACTTTTGGCCCCGTATCTTTGGAACGGCTAGACCTGCCTTTGCCAAAACTAATCAGCACGTCTCCTTATCAATACGAATCGAATGTTTTTTGAATTATTCAAATCGGTTGATCCGTGTTCCCGAAATGTCGACAAAAATTTGTATCCGCACACCACACAACACACACATACATCAATTTTTTCTAAGGTATGCCAAAATATTCAGAAACCTTTGAAACGTCGAGAAATACAAAAAATTCATTTTCGATTTTTTTGCGATTACTAAACTTGCCCTACGGGAAGTTAAAAATAGTTTTGGTTAACAGATTAATCGCAACAATATATAAAAAAAATACACATTGTTACTTTATTAGATAATTTAGTTAGAAATGTACCAAAAAAATTTGATGTATCAAAGAATTTTTTTTACTAAAATTTGAAAAAAGCACTATTTTTTAATGTCACACATATATGACTGGCATGGTTCTATTGTAGGTAGAGCGAGGCTTGAAGGTCCGCGGATAAGAAAGTCAACCACCGTTATCTCAAAAAACAAGCAAGGTTAGGAATTATTTAACCACAATATTTGAAAGTAGAGGGAAAAGAATGAATAAAAGCCATCACCTTGATTCTTACAACGGTTATCTAGAGATAAACGACAATGTTTGAAAATCCATAATAATAGTATTTGCTTTAGTTAGTTTTTTTGGTTATGAGCACTGTTGTTTACTTTACGAGACCTTAATATAACTTTTAGGTACACGTTATTTTATTGCTTTATAAGATGTATTATTATTTTTAAGTTAAAGTAGTCAACAGTTTTTTTTTTATATAATCTCTATGAAAGCTCACATGAGGGTGGAGTAAAAAGTACCAACTGAACTTTACCCTGGCAAAGGTGTAAACAATAAAAAATTGTAAAAAAAAAAATAGCAAAGTAAGTTAATAAAAGCAATTTTACAGGAGAAAATTTAAATAAATATCTATTCTAACTATGCTGATAATTATTTCTGACTAATAGTAGATCAAGGTTGTATACAGTGTTATCTCTGTAATACTCATGAATTTATATTTTGCATTAGTTGAATAACGTAGCTATATTTCGTAAAATTTCTGTAAAGTTAAAAATAACACATTGTATCTGTTTGCCCGATCGCAGTCCCTTTTTACCCAGCCCTTGGGTGAAAAAAAAACAGATTATTTTTTTTGAAAAATAGCAAAAAAACTTTGTTCGTTTTACTGAACCTAGTCAAGATAGTTCAGAAATCCTGAAAAAAAAAGAAAACTGGATCGGGCTCATTCTGCAAAAAGAGTACTTTCTACACAACGTCGTCGAAGATAAATAGGACTAAAAGGATGTGGAAGAAGAAGAATGTAGATGATTGATGAGAAAAGAAAATTACAGGAAACTGAAAGTCAAAGCACAGACCAAAAAGCATAAAAGCAAAAATTTGAAAAGAAAATGCATAAAAGTGTATAATGGGATAATAAACAAGACAGAGAAGGGAATCATGGATTGTAATGCTTCCACGCCATGGGCCTGCCTTGGGCAGACTGCTATTTAGTATTTATATATTATTATTTAATAATCTATAAATAACTTAATTATTATAACTGTAATAATTATTATATAACTTCATATTATTGACCAAAGGAGAAGTTTGTTTTCGCCAGAAAATTGAAATTGTTAAGATAGTGTTTTTTGGACAAAAGCATACGTGTGTATGTATGTAAACAAAATTTTCAACTGATTTTAAAAAATATAAAAGTTATAGATGTAACGCAATAAAAGACTCTCGTAGATTATTTTTACTCGACGATCGGATAAGCCCGTTGTTAATAAATAGCAGAAATGTAAAAAAAAAATACACTTAAACAAAACATTTAAAAAATGTTTACGTTTAGGCAAAAATCCTAAACCTATGTTGAAAATTTATGTTCAAAAAATATCATTTGGAAATCGTGTTGATTAGTTTTTGGCAATGATCGCTTGAGTCGTTCTTCATAAATGATTGTTAAAATAAAATTTTTGTTTGTTAGTTATGGTCGTTATGAAAAAATTATTTAAAGCTTGGATTAATCGGTCTCGCATTTAGAAAATACTCCGTTTCAATAATATTTAAATTTAAATATTTAAAGTTAAATCACTTGTCGAAATTAAACAAAATGTGTACAAAATTCTCTGCAATAGTTTCTCACATTATAATTCTCTACTTCGCTAACATTTTATTAAGTCGATTATTTATATATATCGCGCAGTTCATGTAACGCCTTAATGCAAAATGCCACTTGCTCCTAATTTTCATTTTATTTTCAATTACCGTTTAGAAAGCGCTGTGTCAAATAATACATACACCATCATAAGCACGAAACGGAATATAATAGTCTCTTCCACAACAGATAGTTTTACCCACGTGATCAGAAGCATTGGAGGCGGAAGTGCATACATCATTTTAATTTTTTTTAAACTATTCGATGATAATTTTATTTTTATTTATTGAGATTAAATTTAAAGGTTGCTAATGAAACATTAAGAAACTTGTAGCACACGTATTGATAATTATATTATATATATATATATATATATATATAACATTTATATGTTAAACGTGTTTTATCCTTGAGAGGAGTCGGTGTGTTACTTTGATATGTTTAACTCTTCAAGAATATATGTACAAGATTTTCCACTCTATACGCGTTTTACCCGAAACTGTCATCTTCGATACGACACCCACGATTTCTCAACTTCTACTGAAACGATTTATTTCAAAATTTTTACCGAGTCTTTTTCATAGCTTCTCTTCATTATGAACTACTCCTCCCATAACTCCGATTTTTACTATTTATAAAGAAATGAAAAATATCAAAATTGTATTTGAATTTGATGCATTATTAGGCATTGAAGACGCTCCGAGATTCCCTGGAGTTCACCATTGCA